TGTCAGAGGGTGTGAACACAGTAGTGACAGCTGCCCAGGATGTTCTAGCTTCCACTGCCAGATTGCCACTGCAGGGGCAGCCAGTGTGTTGGACTGAGGGGCTTCCGAGGTCTCTGCTGCTCAGATGTGCATGTGGCCATGGCTGGACTACTTAGTGCATATCACACGAATTAATCTAGAATACATACAAAGCATCACCTTCTATACTATAAAATAGTCCCTTTCTATTATATATACTCAGATTAAAATAATGGGTATGTTTCTTTTGTTCTAGAGAAGGCTTCCTAATATAGAACTGGTGACAAGAAATATTTATTACAAAATTAATATTCTTACCAGAAATTAACTCTCAAATACCCTTACACGGTTTATGTCTTCCTACTCTGTCTCACACTGACATAGAACCTGACAAAGAACTTTACAAAGGAGTAAAAACTTCACACTCCCAGGAAGGAGATCTGGCTATCCTGTTTTCTATGCTTGATATGGATATACAGCTATGTTCTTTTTCAGATCTCTGGTTCAAATAGTTTTATGTTAAGGACAAAGTCTCATCAGGGAGCACCCAGAGAAAAAGTAGCAGGTGATAAGAAAGGGCCACAGTGACCAGCACAGAGTAGAGAGAACATGAGACCTGTGTCAGCAGCATGATGATTCATGTGCTTGAGGCTGACAAAAAGAGACAGGGGCTGCACCAGGTGAATGTTCCCTTGGCAATTCCCCTGGTCTGAGACAAAGTCCTCTCCTGCCAAGGCTGAGTATGCACAAGCTATTGGTAGCAGGTGACATGAACTCTGAGTCTCCTGCTTCCTTTCTCAGTAAGAATCTGCGGCTGAGGGACCAGAGCAGGACTCCTGGATCTCACTCACTCCTGCTGCCTCCGTCCTCACCCATCTTACTCCACTTCTATCACTGTCCCCAGTACCTGTCTTGTCAAGGATTCTCCTCAGAAACATACAGGAAGAAGATAAGGATTGTGAGCAGGGCAGAGAAGTTTTGAATGCATGCCCTGGATGGAGGCTGGTCCACATCTGCAATAGTGGTTAGCAGGGCTAAAATAAAACACAAGTTGAGCCTTTGACCAGGACTTAAATCTGAGCAAATCTTACCTCAGCCTCTATGTCCTCAGGAAATTCAGTAACACACAGGATAACAACAACTTTGTTGTGCAGCATCTATTTGTGTGGGTTCAGAGTAGGGAGAGGGGATGTCCCTAACCTCACCAGACTCATGTGGCTATGGTAAGGGATCAAGGTAAAGATGGGACCTCATCTCTCCTGCTGGCAGAAGAGGAGCTGACCTGTGATGGTCATGAGAGAAAGAAGGGAGATTGGATCAAAAGAAGGCACCAGCGATTCTAGACTGAGAAGAAGGCAGGAAGTAGGATGCTCAGTCTGTGAGAGCAGAGAGACCCTTGGTGAGTGACCAGTGTGAACACAGTTAGTGAGACAGGAGATAAGGAGAAGGGAAATGAGAGACAGAAAAAATGGCATTAACCCAAGGACTCACGGGGAATAGATCACACACATGCACACATAGATACATACAGGAACACACATGCACACCCATGCATTCTCTCTCTCTCTCTCTCTCTCTCTCTCTCTCTCTCTCTCTCTCTCTCTCTCTCTCCACATCTGCAGAAAGCTTTGTCCTCCTCTTCCCAGTTACCTGTAGGCTCCATGTTTTCTTCACAGTGCAACTTAGACTCATTAAGCTTGTTCTTGAATTCACCCTGTGAGTTCATGGTTAAGAAGTCATTTAGATTTGTGATTTTCTTCCTCATCTCTTCTGTCCAGTTGGTTCCAGGATCGATTCGAAGGCTTTCATTAGTATCACCATCGAACATTTTGCTTCCGTTGAGGCTTACCTTCCAGGATCCCATGAAATTTCCTTCTGTTGCATACCAGCCACATACATTGGACTGCAGAGTGAGGGTCCCTGTGCCCATTGGAAGGAGATCAGTCTCTGGCCTTGATTAATCCTGTCTGCCCACCACCCTCCCTTCCCATCCTGTGACCTGGCTTTACCCTCCACAGTTTGCTCTTGCTGCTGGATCTCTTAGGTGGGACTAACAGTGCTTCATTTTGTTTCTCCATGAAAACAGTGAATTTCCCTAACCTGTTACAAATCCTGTTCTTTCCTTTAGAGGGCATCTGATATATATATATATGTATATATATATACATATATATGTGTGTGTGTGTGTGTGTGTATACACACATATCTATATACATATACATATACATATACATATATACATATATACATATATACATATATATACATATATACATATATATATATATATATATTTATATATATATATATATATATATATTATTATTATTAATTCTGTAGCAGTAAGGATGGACCCTAGAGCCTCAGGCATGCTTGACAGAAACTCTACTACTGAGCTACAGCCCCAGCTCTATGGAATCATTTAAAACTTACCTCTGTTTGTCTTATTCTCCTCCCGTATTTGATACAGCACCTCTTTGAAGTAGTAAACTTCATCCCTTAGATTGTGAAAATGTTTTTTACAGATATCTGTAGCATTGAGTCTGTTCCCAAGAGCATCAGTGACATGACATTTGTCATTTCTATAGTGAAGGAAAGGTTCTGTGTTCACTTGGCCTTGGACTTCATAGCTCCACTGTCCAGAGTTGCTAACATTGAAACTGCAGCAGAGAGAAGCAGCCTCTATGGAAGAAACACGCAGTGGGGTTAGGGGTAGGGAGCAAGGGACTCAGAGATGTTCTCTACCTGTGGTCTCTTCTGTAAAAGTGACTTGAGGAGGTGGGGACAGAGGGGATTCCCTGACCAATATTCACTGTGCTAAGTAAAACATGCTCATTCTCCCCTGCTCTCCATCAGGACAATCCACATGTGATTATGTGTTAATGTTATTATGTGATCTTGTTAGCCATGGGCACTGTTGGTCATAGCAAGAGAAGTTCAGGATATCTTTTCTAGACCTATTCACTCTGGAGGGTCTCCAGAAGCTGACCATGTAGACTGTGGGTGTACCAGATGGTTTCTGAGAAGGAGAGCAAGGGTGAAACAGAACTTGCATGGAGACATTTTTTTCTGATCTGTACTCTCAGATCATAGAATTGGACATCTATAACAAGTTTTAACTGTCAGTGTGATTCAGTCTCCTAAGAAATCAGTCTCCAATTCTGAGACTGTTTTGATGGTGAATGATAGAAGAATGGCTGACTTAATGTGGACATTATCATTCTCTCAAGTGGTCTCTGGGTGGATATGAAATCTTGCTAATTATGAGCTAGTGATCCTGAATGCAACTACCATCTTTTCTGGTCCCTGCTATGCCTCCCCAGCTAGGAAGCAAGTTCCTTGGTCACAGGCAATGCTGTGTGGAATAGCATGTAAACCTGCCTGGGATCCTGTCCTGACTTCCTTCTATGGCAGACTATGACTTAGAAGTAGAAGTCTAATAAGTCAAATTTTCTCTTAATTTACTTTTGTCAGCAGTGTCTTATCACAGCAACGGAAGGAAAATAGAATGACACAGTGCCAGATCTCCTAGACCTAATGTAGCATTCCAGCTATGGCTTCCTGGAACTGGTAAGAGGATGGACCAGAGGATGGGCTAGAATAGTACCAGTACCAGAAAAAACCTAGGATGGTTAAGTCTGGTAGTTAAAGAGTGGTGATCGCAAATCTCAGAGATATTCAAGTTCTCAGGTGAACATAAAAGCAAACATTTCTAGAGAAAATGTGAAGAGTCCGTGCTGCTCAGTGGGATGCTGGAGACTCTTGTTGAAAAGCATATTAAGCATGAACAGAGAGAAGGCCATTAGCATGGTGAAAAGCTCAGGGATGATGCTGATGGCTGAAGGCTGGTTGTGGTGATAGGAATCTGTATCTCTAACTTGTAATCCCAGCAGTGTGACACAGAAAATCCTATCATGTGCAGTGGTCAGGAGACAGTAATATCAACGAAAGTGGTCCACTGATGTGTAAGGGGTACACAGCCTGGAGCCTGACTGCTTAAGAGTGCCATGGCTAAAAGAGCACAAAGATCCTAAATGTAGATGGATGGTTAGCCTACACAGATGGGGCTGGATTGAAAATATTAATGAAAAACAGGTGGTAATGAATCTTAAAGCTCCTGTCCTATGACAACCCCAGGCTTCTGTGCCCATGGTGTAAAACTGAAGCACTGAAGTTAGAAAGGTGAAGCAGCAGTTAATGGCACTTGTGGCTCTTGCAGAGGATCTAGGGTTGATTCTCAGCAACAACACATGGTGGCTCACCACTGCCTGCAACTTTAGTTCTAGGGAATCTGATGTCCTCTTTTGGCCTCCAAGGGCACAAGGCACATGTGTGCTGCACATACATACATGTATACATACATACATACATTCAAAACACTCATATGCATAAATGTAAAGAACCTTTCAAACTGAACCACCTCAAAAACAGACCCCGACTGACATCCTAAAAGGGCAGATCAGGTCCCAACAAGGAAAGACCACTCGTCCCCTCAGCACGTGAATTCATTCTCTCTGTATGGCTTCATTAATGCTCTGTAATTTGGGTATGAACCCCTAGACACAAATGTTAATGTCTAGTGTGTTATTTTGAATGAGCCTTTCCTCTGTAGAGTAAGATGTTTGCCCCAGTTTGTAGAAGTTCCTTGCTTAGATTTAGGAGGTGGGGTCTTGCTGAAAAACGTTGTCACCGGGGGTGTGGTTTTGAAAGACATTCCCATTTATCCATTTCTGGACCTTGCTTGAGGTTTAAGATGTGGACTCTCAGCTAGGCATTGTACCACATGGCTCTAATTGCAGGATGAGTCATGTGGTCCTTTATGCGTTTGAGACAGACTGGTCTACATAGTTAGTTCTAGGTCAGCCAGAACTACACAGTGAGACTTTGTCTCCAAACCAAACCCAACTAAAAATATGTGGAGCCTCAAGTTGCTGCTGGAGCCACCATGTCTGCCTGCTGTCATGCTCCCCTGCTGTGAGGCGATATTGTCCTTATGAACTATAAGTCTCCCCAAACTCTTGTATGTTACCATGGTCATGTGTCTTATCACTGCAGTAGAAAATAACTAACACTATTAGCATATAAATACTGGAGTGTTTACAGGCCAGAAAATCTGTGTTACAACTGATACTCTCTGTGCTTGTTGGTTGAAAGCAACCAGAGAGAACCCATCTGTGAATTGTAAGGATACATCTGCCTCATAGGACCTATGACCCAGGCAATATGTACAGCCAGTGCCAGTGGGAGGAAATGTCCCTAGGTGAAGTTCACACCAGTTCCTAATTGGAGAATCTCCTTGCTTTGGGAGAAGACACCCTGACCCTCCTGCAGCAGAGACAATGCACTCCATTTCAAAGTGA